GAAGAACCACCAGCACCAGCAGCACGCCTCCAGCGCCTGGTAAACCACTCACGCAGCTCCTGTGGGGAGAGTGGCTCCCGGCGAGACGAAGCACCCCCAGGCTCAGCACCCCCAGGCTCAGCACCCCCAGGCACAGCACCCCCAGGCTCAGCACCCCCAGGCTCAGCACCCCCAGGCACAGCACCCCCAGGCTCAGCACCCCCAGGCTCAGCACCCCCAGGCTCAGCACCCCCAGGAACAGCACCCCCAGGCTCGACACCTCCAGGCTCAGCACCCCCAGGCACAGTACCTCCAGGCTCAGCACCCCCAGACCCCGCACCCTCAGGCTCAGCTCCCGCAGCAGCACCAGAGTCACCAGTGACCTCGACAGGCTCGACCGCGTCTACCTGGGACACACCTGAAGGGGCAGGACCCTGAGGGGGGAGGGGGACGACCGGGGGGGGGGGCCTGGTACCAAGAAGAGCGGGGGCGGGGGGAGGGACGGAGTGCGGTAGGGGAAGAGGCGGTAGTAGGGTACCGACTCGTCGAACGTGACGTCCTGGGAGGACAGAACACGTCGAGAGGTGGGGTGGTAAAACTGCCACCCAGGGGCGTCGGGGGGGAACCCCAGGAAGACGCAGGGAGAAGCACGAGGGGACAGCTTGTCCGCAGACAGGTCGCGAACAAACGCCCGAGATCCCCAGACCCGGAACGCCGACGCATCGCCAACCTTCCCCGTCCACAGCAGGGCTGGGGAGGTCTCTGGTCGAGAGACCCTGGGGTGGAGGTTGATCTGGTGCGCAGCGTACCTGACCGCAAACGGCCACAGAAAATGGGGAGCAGCCGCATGCATCATGGACGTACGAGCGACGTCCATGACCATGCCAATGCGGCGCTCAGCAATCCCATTCTGCTGTGGTGAGTCCGGAAGCGTGAAGGTCTGACGGATGCCTCGCACACGACAGTAGGCACTCAGGAGGCCAGAGGAGAACTCTCCGCCTCTGTCCGAGTGCAGACGCAAAACAGGGAAGTCAGAGCCAAAGCTCCTCCGAAGCTGAAGACGAGCTGCGCGGATCCAGTCGATCAACACCGCAGTGACCTCACCCTTGCTGCGCAAGGGGAAGACTGTGGTGTAACGCGAGTAGTCGTCAACCACCAGCAGGAAGTAGCGCTCGTGACCCTGTCCACGGACGCGGGCTGGGCCCCACACGTCCATGTGAAGCGTCTGCAACGGGGCCTCTGTCGGAGGAAACTGGGAGGAGTGAGGGGCAGCACGCTGGCGCCCCTCGACACAGGGGACACAGGCAGGGCCAGGGCCCGGAGGAAGGGGAGGGAGGGACCGGGGAAGACCAGACACAAGGACCCGCGAGGCCATGCCTCTGAGCCGAAGCAGAGAGGGGTGGCCAAGGCGGTGGTGCCAGAGGAGGGTCTCGTGAGACAGACGACGACACGAACAGGGGGCAGACTCAGGACCAGACCTGGACGCTGCAGCAAACACCTGACCAGACGAAGGGACTCTACCAGACGCAGCACCTGGAGGAGAAGTAGTGGTCAGTGTGTACAGGCTCGACCCTGGCCGACGTGTAAACGTAGCCAGGTGACGACCTGTATCCGCCTCCGTACAGTGGGTCACCCGCTGACGAGCAGGGGTGAACTGGTGGACACCTGCATCCTGGAGGTCAGCACCACTCACCAAGTTCGTCGAGAACGAGGGGAGGTAGAGACCAGTCAGGGTGCCAGAGGGGGCCGCTGGACACGGGAGGACAGTGGAGAAGCGAGACAGGACAGGTCCCCCAGAGGGGTCAGCGAGGGACACCGCAACCGGCCGACTCAGCGGCGTGAGAGTGGTGCGGTCCCTAAAGAAGGAGCGAGACGCTCCAGAGTCAAGGGTGAAGGTGTGAGAGGCCGAAGCCGACACAGTACCTGAGAGCGCGGACTCACCAGCACCTGAGAGCACAGACGCACTGGCACCTAGAGCTGCAGCCTCACTAGTACCTGACGCGGCAGTACCAATGCCCGGGTCGGGCGGGAAACACCGGTAACAGTCATCCTCATCACTACCAGTCACAGCATACATAGCAGAGAGAATAGCATCAAAGTCAAGATCATAAATAGCTACTCCAGCCCTAGACAGCTCTCCCCAGCGGGGGATCTCAGCGGCCTCCGGAAACTGCTGACGCCAGGCGTCGGTCAGGCGGCCAAAGCAGCGACGGGCTGTGTGGGCGCCCCCACACCTCTCCCCCGCACGGTCACCGGTGCGAAGAATGTAGGGGCAGGGACCAAGTGCACCACCGCGCTGACGCTGCAAGTACCACTCACGGAGCTGCTGAGGGCCGGGGACGGTGCGAGAGCGCTGCTGCTGCTGCGGCTGCTGCTGCTGCTGCTGCTGCTGCTGCTGCTGCTGGCGCTGACCACCCCCAGAGCTGCTCCGCTGGGACGAGCCACTCCGACCCCCGCCTCCACCGCCACCCCCGCCTCCACCGCCACCCCCGTCTCCACCGCCACCTCCCCCACCAGGACCGTCGCTCCCACCGCTCCCACCGCCTCCTCCGCTACCACCTCCGCCGCCACCTCCGCCTCCACCGCCGCCACTAGTACCTCCACTCCCGCCACCACCCCCACCGCCACTCCCACTCCCCCCTCCACCCCCACCGCCTCCTCCACCGCCCCCTCTAGCTCCACCCGCCCCCTTGCCCCCCTTGCCCTTGCCAGAGCGGCGTCTGCCGCTGGGGGCAGACGCCGCGCCGACCAACTCAAAACCAGCGAGGTCGGCCGCAGCGGCAGAGGCGACAGAGGGCAGCAGGGGGGAAGGACCACACCCCTCAAAGATGGGGGTGCGAGGGTCACCCCGAGAGGCCCCTACAGCGACAATACTCTTCTCAGCCGCTAGCAGGGACTCCTCAAGGAGGTCGACAGTGAGAGTGGTGGGACAGACAGAGAGAAACTGGTCCCTAACGACACGAAGGGACTCAGGGAGACGGGTGACGAGAAAGTAGAGAGTGATGTACATGGGAGGAGGGTTCGCAGCGCGGAACTCAGCAGGAAGGGCAGCACGGTAGCGGGTGTCACTAGCGCGGAGGTGGGTAACTAGGTCAGCAACAGTGGGAAAGGAAGCGAGGTCAGGGAAGAGAAACGGTAGCATGAGGCGGCTAAGGGTAGCGGAGGAAGGGGAGGAGTAGCGTGCAACTACAGCGTCGTACAAGGCCTGAGCGGTCTTGCACTGACTAAAGTGGGCACGCTCAGAGGAAGGGAGGTGGCGACGCACAGCAAGACGTGCAGCAGCATCGCGGGTCGCCCACTTGGAGCGAGCAGCAGAGTCAGCATCAGCAGGCGGGGCAGGGACAGCGCCAGAGACAAAGTCAAAGAGAGAGACCTCATCTATCGCATCACACAGTAAGTACAGCTGCAGGTCTTCAATCCAGACGGCAAAGTCAATGGCCCTCCCCTCAGCGTCAAAAGTAAGAACATTGGGGGTGGCCATGGCAGCAGCTGAAAGTCTCACCGGGCTAGGAGAGTCGGGTAGGACAGCAGCAGGCAGCTCGGGCTGGGTCGGGCGGCTCGGGCGGCTCGGGCGGCTCGGGCGGCTCGGGCGGCTCGGGTAGCTCGGCTGCTGCTGGTCGGCTCGGCTGCTGGTGGGCGGCTCGGCTGCTGCAGGGCGGCTCGGCTGCTGCTGGGCGGCGCGGCTGCTGCTGGGCGGCTCGGCTGCTGCTGGGCGGCTCGGCTGCTGCTGGGCGGCTCGGCGGGGCCGTCAGGGTGCAGCTGCGGGGCCGGGACAGGGGACGGCGGGGCCGTCAGGGTGCAGCGGCGGGGCCGGGACAGGGGACGGCGGAGCCGTCAGGTGGCGGGCCAGCAGGCGAGGTGGCGAGCCGTCAGGTGAGGCGGCGGGGCCGTCAGGTCAGGTGGCGGGCCAGCAGGTGAGGCGGCGGGGCCGTCAGGTCAGGTGGCGGGCCAGTAGGTGAGGCGGCGGGCCGTCAGGTGAGGCGGCGGGGCCGTCAGGTAAGGTGGCGGCGGGCCGTCAGGTGAGGCGGCGGGGCCGTCAGGTAAGGTGGCGGGCCAGCAGGTGAGACGGTGGGCCGTCAGGTGAGGCGGGGGGGCCGTCTGGTGAGGTGGCGGGCCAGAAGTCGAGGCGGCGGGCCGTCAGGTGAGGCGGCGGCCGTCAGGTAAGGCGGCTGCGGGGCCGACAGAGGTGCAGCGGGGGGGGCCTGCTGTAGCGACGAAGAGGCCGCGCGGCCGTCTTGAGGGCGGCGCGGCGCGGCAGAGCCGAGAGGGCGGCGCGGCGCGGCTGTAAGGGCCGCGCGAAGTGGGGCCTGGGCCGCGCGCGCGAAAAAAAATGAGTCGCGCGCGCGACTCTCGGGGCGCCACAAGGGCAGATCGATGCGCACTAGGGGGAGCGCGCCTCGGGGAGAATAGGGCGCGCTCCGGGCAGGAAAAAAAAAAATCGTGGGTGGGCCCAAAGAACGGTCCTTAGGAGGGACCCGCTCTATACCATGTGAAACTAACTGAACAGGAATGAATTGACTAAGTCAGAGTTGGGTACAAATACAAACCTAGCAAACTGTACCCCATATGTGCTACCCCACTATAGCCTACAAACATGCATCAGCTATAATAATCTGACAAGCAGCACTCTCCCTAGTGAAAACGATTGATAACTGGAAATATAAAAAAACAGATCTACAACTATTTCTGTTTGTATACTTCCATTATATCCTAGCCCAATCATGTATACAAACCATCATCATCAATTTGGTTCAAGGTTAAACAAAAAAGGAAAAAAAAAATAACATATCGTAAAGTGCCACCTATAGGACCCGCCGGTAAGAGGGTCCCCCGGGACTCTTGAATGGGTAGGGGGACTCTTATTGTGGCAGGTTTTGTGAGGACCCCCCCTTTGTAGCTAATCATTATAAGACCCCCCCCCCTTTCCATATAAGGCCCTATTGGGTTTGGTGCAGTTAACATTGTTATCGTTGTTACCTACCGTACTACATACACATCTCAACACCTAGTGGTCACTACAACTACGGCTTGGTCATGTTAGATTCCATCAAGCACTTAGCGTTCGCGTCCTCCTCCAGCCCACCCTCCGCCTCCTCTTCCTCGTCAGCCACATCGTCGTCGTCGTCGTCGTCGTCCTCGTCCTCCTCCTCCTCCTCCTCCTCCTCCTCCTCCTCCTCCTCCTCCTCCTCCTCCTCCTCCTCCTCCTCCTCCTCCTCCTCCTCCTCCTCCTCCTCCTCCAGGTCCCCGGCATCCTCAGCATCCGCAGCCTTTGCCGCCTCCTCATCCTCCGCGGTTGTGGCGAACAGTGGGTTCACCCACTCCTCCACCTCAGGGGCGACGTGCACGTCTTGTGCCACCTCGACCTCGCCCGCATCACGCATGTGGGCCAGGACAAGGTGATCTTGCTTCCCATCGACCGAGTTTCGTATCAAAAGATAAAAGAACACGTAGTTTTTTTTAATCCAAATATAACGACAAGATTAAGGTCGTTCATGTCAGAATATTATCTTATGTTCTAGCCTGTAGTGGGGTGCTCTATAGCGAGTACAACCCTTCTATGGTTTGCTATTTGTATCCCCATTCTTGCTAGTTCAATCCTCTTTCCTCTTTCTTTCTTCTAATTTTGTCATGCTATCAGAGCAGGTCGATCCCCTTGGATCGATCCTGTGGGTGGGTTACCACCTCGCTTCCGCTGCTACTTTTTCCTCCCGCCGTGCGCCCCGAGGCGCGCGGCGGTTTTCTGCCCGCCGTGCGCCCCGAGGCGCGCGGCGGTTCTCTGCCCGCTGTGCGCCCCGAGGCGCGCGGCGGGCGTCTGCCTCGCGGCGTTCGCCGCGTCCCGCTCTGGAGGCGTCGCGACGGGCGACGGGGACCCGTCGCGGCCCCGCCGCCCTACTCCGGTCGCGGCCCCGCCGCCCTACTCCGGTCGCGGCCCCGCCACCTTCGGTCGCGGCCCCGCCACAGACCCGTCGCGGCCCCGCCACCTCCGGTCGCGGCCCTGCCGCCTCGCGTCGCGGCCCAGCCGCCTTCGGTCGCGGCCCCGCCAACTCCGGTCGCGGCCCCGCCAACTCCTGTCGCGGCCCCGCCAATTCCGGTCGCGGCCCCGCCAACTCCGGTCGCGGCCCCGCCACCCCACTTCGTGGCCCCGCCGCCCCACTTCGCGCCCCCCCCCCCCCCCCCTCCTCCCCCCCCCCATTTCCCGTCGCCCGTCGCGGCTCCTTCGGGGGCCGAGCTGTGGGGTGGCGGGTATGGGGGTGGCCGGTGTGCTTTCCTCCCTTTGCTCCTCCTCCTCCTTCGTCTCCCACTGCTGCAGCTGTCGCTGAGGGGGGTGGTTGTGTGGGAGACTGGGGTTTAGGGTTTAAGGGGGGTGCGTGGGAGTGGAGCTAGCGGTGTAGCAGCGGGTGTGTATCAGGGGGGTGGGACTGTGTGCGGGAGGATGAGCGGAGGTTGCCAGTTTGTCGTCAGCAGCACCTGTAGTCCGGGGCGCTGTCCCGGTAGCCCAGTGAGCTAGACTTCTACGCCAGCCGCCCGTGGGTCCGTTGCCCGTCTGCCGCTACTTGAGCCGCGGGGCCTGTTACTCCTGTAGTCCGGGCGCTGTCCGGTAGCCGCTGTGCCAGTCTGCCTCCTGTTGCCCGTGTGTCTGCAGCTTCAGCCGTCGCCTCCTATCTCCTCTCCCCTCACTCTCTCTCCTCCTCCTCACTTGCCCGTTGTGACTATCACTAGCTTTGCTCATAATTGTGAACTCTAAACTATTTCTTCTTGAACTTGTGCTCAGATTGTGTGGTGACATTGTGATCCACCCTGAGCTTGTACTGCTTTGCCTGCTCTGCTGATTACACCCCACTTTGGCTATGGGGGTGTGTCGGAATATTATCTTATGTTCTAGCCTGTAGTGGGGTGCTCTATAGCGAGTACAACCCTTCTAGGGTTTGCTATTTGTATCCCCATTCTTGCTAGTTCAATCCTCTTTCCTCTTTCTTTCTTCAAAATTTGTCAGTTCAAACTTCAAACGCATGTTACAATTGTTGCTTCGCAACCCAAAGACGATTTCGTCGCCTCTTGTTTTTTTTTTTTCTTTCTTTTCTTTTCTTTTATGGGCGAGGGTTTCTGTTCCCGCAACAGTGCCCTGGGACTTGTGAATTCGAGGCCAAATGTGCCTCTTTCCTGCGGCGATTTTTCGTAGCTCCCCCTCCAATCTGCGCCAGCTCCCCCATGGCGCAGGTTTTCCGCGGAGCAGTCAACCCAGGGTCAAAATTCGTTGACCCTGGGTTGACGCCCGCCTTACCTTCGCCTCATCTTCCTCACATTTTGCTTCCGCGTGGCTACCGAACTGGGCCGCTACTGAATTTACGAATGGCGCATTCGCTTCTAAATTTGGGCATTACAGTATCTATTGAAATGCACTAATACTCCTTTTTGTTGAAGCAACGTATCTCCTGCATTCCAACAGTAGTTTTGGATGTGTCTAATTATTTCCAGTGCCATTGCCGATTGGTGGGGCGGAGTCACCTAAGAGGACAGTGACCTTTTGTTTTGTGCCATGAGACATGATCTTCTGATAGGGCATCCATCCACTGTACAATGTCCCAAGCGATAACAGTCGCAGCTTCTTGAACAGCAGCTGCACCCAAGTATCCACTGTGTTGTCCCAATCCTCAGCCCGACACACTGGCCTAGGTGGCAGTACAGCAGGCAGTCCCACCGACCCAAAAGTTCTACCGATCCACACACATCATGAGCCGCCTCGAAATTGTCACCCCTTCAGCATCTCAGCTGGTGGGCACGAGCAGTCCCAGTAACATGTTGAACAGCAGCTGCACCCACGTGTCCACTGGCCCTGGGTGGCAATAATGGAGGCAGTCCCACCGGCCCACATGCCCATCAGCCCGCCACACCGCCGACGCATTCACATCCATGTACACCCCTCCCACGCCCTCCGTCAGATTCTTTAAAATCTCATTCTGCGCCGCAAACCCGTCCCAATGCCAGTCATCATGCGGCAGGTCCAGAAGCTTCCCGGAAAGCGGCTTCCGGTGCAGCCAGCAGTGGGGGTGGCCGGCAGGGGTGTTTCGAACGATAATGAGCAGATCAGGGTAGCTCTTCCGGAGGGCCAGCAGAGTGGATTTCATTTGCCGCTCAAACTGCTCATCTGCAATAAAATGAGCCCCTCGATTCATCACCACTACCGACACGCCCTGCGCTGCTATCTCATCCATCCAAGTCTCCCCAAAACTCTTATCCACCATGAAATCATTCTCCGCTTCCGTGGAGTTGAGGTAATAATCCCGAACAAAGAAAACCCGGACGGAAAAGCCGAGGTCTGCACAGAGATGAAGGGTCCAGCAACGCTTGTCTGCGGGCTCTTTAGTAGCATTTCGGTATCGCTGGCAGTAGCCTGTTGGCTCACCCCATTGCACCCGGGAGTCCCAGTCCTTGGCACCCAGTCTGACGTTGAACCGGATGGCGTCGGCTAGAAGCATGTTTATTGAGTCACCCACTATAAGCACGCTTCGCTTGTCGAGAATTCTGCAGAACTTTGCCGGGTCGAACCATTCCCAAGGCCCGGCGCAGCTGCTGGCGTTGGTACTACTACCATCTGATGCCGCTGCTCCATCCTGGCCGTCCATGCTGCTTCCTGGAACCAGCCAAAAGTACTTGAGAGTATCTCGTACAGTCCACTGGCGAATCAGCTCGTCCCTCCGTCTCTTCAGCTGCCTCAACTGATTGAGCAAATGCAGCGGCGCCCCTCTCCCCATCTTACTAATCTCCGCTATCTGAGTCACAACCTCCTGAAACTGTCCCACCATGCGATCCGCGTCTTGAAACGCCACATGACGGGTGCTCTTTTTCAAGTGTCCCACGTCGCATTTGCTCATCTCGTCCGGCCACGGCAGCAGCCGCGGCGAGACGTAGTGGGACCAATTGCCCTCGCGGCCTATGCAATCGAATCTTTCCCGGAAAAATCGGATCTTATCCGGGGAATCTAGCATGGAGCCCGGGATTCGGGTCCACAGAGAAGGTGGAGGTTCGGAGAGAGGAGGGTTGGTCGCAGCATTGGTGGGAGGGTCGGTGGGAAGGTTGGTGGGAGGACTGGTAGGAGCGTTGGTCGTAGGGTTGGTGAGTGGAGGATGTTCGACGCTAGGTTGGGGAAAAGGTGAAACCGGTGCAGATGGTGTGACGACTGGAACAGCTGTAGCTGGACTATCAGCGGCCTCAGAAGCTGTTGAGTCTGAGGACGATGTGAGAATCGATAAGGATGCTGTTGTGTCGCCGCTCACAGGCGAAGAATCGGCGACTGTTGGTAACCCGACGTGGGGATCGCGAGGGGGAACGGCTACGCCGTTGACTAATTCACCGCCCGTCAGAAGTTGACCGCCGGCAGAGGGTTGGTCGAATTGCAGCTGATTTGGCTGCAGTGGCCTCTGGTGTTCTTCAAAGTTGTCATGTCTGCTTAATTTTCCTGATTGTGTTGATGTGGCCACGTCGGAGGCAGTGTAATCGGGTAAACTGGATGCAAATCCAGCAGAAAATCTGGTAAAATGATCCAGGAGAAGAGGAGAGGATCTGCCGTACGTGTATAGGCCAATGAGAGCGAAGGAAAGCGCGAGGGCGATCGCGACACCGGCGTGAATTGTCGGAATTGACTCTAATTGCTTAAGCTGAGGCTTACGAGTCGTCGCTTCTTCGATTCCTGAAGCCATATTCAGCCGTCCGCGGTTGCTACATTCCAGAAATGGTACCACGGTTGACTCCTGCGTTGAGGAGAGAAACCGTATTCAACCGTTTACAATCCTCCTAACCTTACAATAGCTCAACCGACGGCGGGAAGGGAATCAATAGCCGCGACTCCCGCAATACTACAATTAATCGCCGTGAAAGGCGCGACGAGAAGCAGAGAATAGTACGCAAGCTCCTGAATGCTCGCGGTTCAAGAAGGCGCAAGATAGGCTCTCCACATTGCCAACCGCTTTCAATTATCAGCTTCAGAAAAGCAGAGGCGGTTACGAGAAATCCGAGGGAAAGCTGCACCTCGGGACTGTACCCGATTTTGAGAAGCCTGTTATTAGCTATTTCTACAGAGCGATGCTTGATGTTTTTTGACGAGTCATACATCTCCAATCGATTTCCTACTGAAAAGCAGTGAGGAACGGTTTTTGCCTTCCACCGTTTTCGACCATTGTAAACCGAACGTATCTCTACCAGGGCAGGAAACGAACGAAAATTACCTGCCGTCCGTCACTGACAGGATGACGGCCCGTCAGGAAGGCAGCATTTTCCAGTCAGAAGTCGATTGGAATTGCGAGACTGAAACCAGATCAGTGAAGGGTCTGGCAAGATTTTCAGAAGAAGAACAAATGAGTTGCAGACGGTTTGAGTAGTTCCTGAGAGTTTTGTGTGCGCTACACAGTGGTCTGAGACGTTCTCCCACCCTATAGCAACCTCAGCTCCCAAGAGTCCTCCGTCGGCAGTTTATTCTCCTAGAAACTGCTGTCCACCGGCGATTGAGCCGAGGCCTCCTCTCTCGCCTTTTTTTCTTTCCTGAGTATTTTCTCCCGCATTGCTACTACGTCAGCTTACTTGAGTCCTGCCGAGTCTCCTAGATTGTGAATTACGGACGATTTACCTAGGATGATTTAGCACACTCCTCGTTGTGCCTTCCATGGCGACATATGATGCTGCGAGTTGAATCCACTGGACATCGCAATTCCCAGGAATTGCGATGTCGTTGTGCCTTCCATGCCAACATAGGATGATATAAGGTCGTCGTTAGCTATAAGTTGTTGCACATTGTTCCTGCGCATTTCGACGGAGTGACATGGCGACGACTTCTTCTGAATACGCCGAACTACGGACCATGATTGGACCAGATGGAGGCACGACGACAAAACCTAAACATTGGCAAGCCGAGAAGCTCCCGACGGTTCACGCCCGCATCGAAATCTCTCTCGCTCTCGCGTTCGTTCTCATTGGAATATACACATACTGCATTTCCTTTCTCCCGATTCGAAACATCGCCTCCAGCTTCCCTGAGTCCACCACCTCCCTTCCAGTCCCAGCCGACCCTTCGCCTGTCAGCGATTCTCCTCGCGTTCCAGTCCCAGCCAACCCTTCTCCTGTCAGCGATTCTCCTCGCGTTCCAGTCCCAGCCAACCCTTCTCCTGTCAGCGATTCTCCTCGCGTTCCAGTCCCAGCAGACCCTTCTTCTGTGAGCGGCTCAACCGTTACCGTGACAGCATTCCCGTCAGATCTTACTTCCTCAGGCTCAGCAGTTCCTGAAGCGCCTAAAATATCATCCTTACCGCTAATTGAGAAGCCTAACAACCCATGTCACCGCTAATTGAGAAGCCTAACATCTCGTTGTCACCTCTTATTGAGAAGCCAGAACAGTCATCCTCAACAGACTCAGGTGTCACACTCAGTCCTTCAACTAACCCGCCTAGCACCGAACCGCTTATCAAACCTCCCAGCACCGAACCTCTCACCGAACCTCTCACCAAGCCTCCTACTAATCCTTCAACAAATCCTCCTACCAAACCTCATAACAACCCTCAACTCCACGGAAGACGTGAACGACTTCCTGTTGGATAGGAGCTTCAAGGAGACTTGGATGAATGAGATTGTACCGATGAATGTGTCGATACTGGTTCTGAACCGAGGGGCACACTACCGTCACAACGCCAGGTTTGAGAGGCAGTTGCGGCCTACTTTTCTGGCTCTCCGGAACGCCAACCCTGAAATGCTCATGATCGTCCGAAACACCCCGCCCGGGCATCTCAACTGCTCTCTGCATGATACGCCGCTTTCCGAGAAGCTTCTAGACCTTCCGGATGGCAAATGCTGGCACTGGAACAAGTTTGTGGAGCAGAATGGGATTGTCAAGTGGCTGACGGAGGGCGTGGGAGGGGTATACATGGATGTGAATGCGTCAGCAGTATGGAGACCCGATGGGCATGTGGATCGGAAGGACTGCCTGCACTACTGCCACCCGGGTCCTGTGGATACGTGGGTGTAGCTGCTCTTCAACATGTTGCAGGGGCTGCTGCTGCCAACCGGCTGAGTTGCTGGGAGAATCACACTTTGGAGGTGCCTCGAAGGGCTTGTGGACTAGTGGGAAACTGACTGCCTGCACTGCTGTTATCCGGGACTGGTGGATATGTGGGAATACCTGGGTGCAGCTGCTCTTCAAACTGATGATTTGGCTGCTCGGGCCCAGCGGCTGTGGGTGTGGGACTGTGGAAACAGTTTGGAGGTCTCTTGGCACTCATCCTATGGGCTTCAAGGGGATTACCCACTACAAGCACTACGGGGACTGCCACCCTGGCCCCGTGAATCGTGGGTGCAGCTGCTCTTAAATGTGCTGCTGGGACTGCTACAGTAACGTTTTTTAGGCGCCTCATGCCGTGTGTGGTCGGGGGGAGGGACTGAGTGCTCTACTGCCACCCAGGCCAGTGAGTTGGGATGACAATGTTTTCAACTCAATGTATATTTTGGGTGCAGCTGTTGTTTAATAAGCTGCTACTGCTGTAGCTTGGAACACTGTACAGTGGATGCCCTTGGAGGTGATAATTTCTTGTGGCACAAAAAACTCGGCTCCTCCCTACCACAGGGATTTTCAGCGTAATCATCAACAATGTTAGTGGAAATGATTCAATCCATCCAGAAACTGCTTCTGGAATGTATTTGAGACCTTACTAATCGATAACCAGATCCGCGCTTTATGAAATACTTCGTGAAAAACATGGGGGCCTGTAATAGTATGTGATAGTAATAGTAAACCCCCAACCATTAACATAAACTCGTTTATATACATGTGCAATTTTTGTGGTCATCCTCACGTACGGCTGAACAATGGTGTTCACGAGCGTCACCAATAGATGGAGTGGGCAAATCCTCCGCTGGCGTGGCGTCCCAGGCTTTTTTCTTTTGGGGGTGTTGTGACTTATCTGCTGATAAGTCGGCAACCCCTTAGGGCTGGTAACAGGCCCTCATATTGGTTTGAGGGTATGCTGATGGATCAGCGTGCCCCGGCCAATGAGGTGTCCAAATCAGCGTTCACTGTTTTTTTTATACTGATTTTGCCAGTGTAAAAATCATAAGTAAACTGAACCAACAGTGTAAAAACAAAAAACTATAGCTGAAACCCCAGTACAAGGTGTGTGGTGTTGTTGCCGTGATAGGTTCCAGCGGCGCGCACCTGATATCTGTGCAGTGCATGCGAAAAAATGCCAAGCGTGTGGGTGGGGTCTCAGGAAACACGGGAAGGTACAGATAGGACACGCGTACCCTATCATCCCCGCCCCCCCCCCCCCCCACACACACGCGCGGTCAGCTCCGTTTCAGTGTGACTCACGTCACTATACTGATTCGTCAGTGTTACTTGTACAGCAACACGCAAAATGGTCAGTGTGGCAACGTAGGTTATACTGAAATTTCAGTGCAAAATTGAGGCATATGCTGAATTTTCAGGGAAAACGAAAATCACAGCTTCAAAATCAGCGTAATCAGCATGTTTTACGCTGATATCTGAGGGCCTGGCTGGTAACAATTGCGGGATCGATTTTGTAGGTTTTCCGAAACATTACGCATTGATTCAGTGCGGTGGTAGTTCATTCTTCTGCCCTCAATCCCTCCCTCTTGCCTTCTTTACCGCTCCGTACAACGTTGAGACTTGTCGATGTCAAATGTTGTAGCCTGTAGTGAGGTTTGTCTTAGGGGGTACTGATGTTAGGGTTTGTTATATGTACCTTAACCCACATCAATGAACCAACACTTTCATTCCTGGCATGGTATCACCTAGGTTAGGATCATGTGGGATCCCGTTCCTCTCGTTCACGTCCGTAGCGCCCGAGCCTGTCCCGTACCCTAGTGCCCGTTACGCTCGTACTGTCCCCTAACGCCTATCGCGCCTGCCGTTACATCGCTCTCGTGCCCTAGCGCCCGCTGCGCCTGCCGTTACGTCGCTCTTGTGCCCTAGCGCCCGCTGCACCTG